ATTCTTGTTGAAGCAAAAAAATCACGTTCCATCACTTGTATCAATTTCCAGAAGCACTATATCATGTTATGAAGAATTGATATGTCTTTCTTTGGATTTTTGAGATGTCTTCTACCTTAGTGGGTGTGGGCCCCACTAAGGTGATGAGTTGGCCACAAAAAACCCTCCAAATGCCACCTATCCACTTGAATTCAAGAGTCATAACTTTGAAATTGGGGGCTGCCACGTTAAGCCCCCTTAGACTTATCCAAATTGTTTTAATTTCTTAATTAGCTTCATTACTTAATTAATATCCCACTTAAAATTTATAATTACCAAATTATCCACATAATTAAGAATTATTCCAAATTACTTAAAATATTAATTACTTTTAACACACTTTATACCCTTTACTATCATAGTCATGTGGTACCTTGTATGGCACTAGTCCATAAATACGGGGTATTATAGCTTGAACTGTATTTTACCTCAAAATTTCAAACTTTGAAGAAACTCATTTACTTTGATTTGCTTACCCTCGCACCTTCACGAATTTACTTATCACTTGTTTGAAATAGTATAATACTGATAATCTCAAAATAATCTCTTTCCCGAGCTTACGTCGATTAACTTACGAAGAAACTTTAACGTACGAAAATGCGGGATATAGCAAAAGAATACTCCAATTCCTCAGTGGTCTCAATGAATCATATGAATAGGCTCACATGAAAATGATAGAGCTTAGTTTGAATCAAGCATATGCTATGATTATAGAAGATGGGAGTCAAAGGTCACATGCTTTTCCACCTTTAACAGGAAAGATTGATCCCATGGCTATGCAAGTTGGTTGTGGAAACCCTACAATGGGAAGAAACCTTACATTTAATGTGAGTATAATAATATGAAGGGGCATTTAAAGAAGAACTGTTATAAACTAATTGGATATCCAGTTGATTTCAAGGCAAAGAAGAAATTTGTTGTAATAATGCGATTGGGAACAATGTGGTAGACCAAAAACTTAGATGAAGGAAAGAGAGCCTAGTAGCGAACCTTCTAAGGGTGGGTACTTCTTCACAGAACCACAGTACAACCAGATTCTTGGTATGCTGAATGTAAATAAGGAAGTTACAGGCCTTCAAGCGAATTTGGCAGGTATTGCCACCTCTTTTATGGCAGACTTATTTACTACTGACTGGATTGTAAACATTGGTTCTTCTCACCATATTACTGCCACACTTAATACCTTAACAAATATCATTGAATTGAGTTCCAAAGATAAAGTGCATTTACTTAATGGAGCTAAATCCAGTATAACTCATGTAGGAGTTGCTGAGTTCCTTGAAAGTATGAAGGCTAAAGATGTGTTGTATGTTCCAGACTTAATATATAATTTTTTATCTGTATCTAAGCTGCCCAAAAGTCTCTCTTCTATCATTTATTTTTTTATCTTTTGTATTTTTCAGGATCTCTTTGGTGGCAGGGCGAGGGGGAATTTGTAAGGAACAAGGTGGTCAATACATTGTAAGGCAAAGGAACAATTGCAGCACAGTGAAGAGTGTAGTGGTGCAAGGGAAGTTTGTATATAGTAGCCTTTGACATTGTAAGTTAGGGCATGCTTCAGTCAAGACTATGAAACATATGCTTAATCTGTATAATAAAGACTTAGATGTTTATGGTCCCTACAGGATACCCACTTATGATAGAAAGTATTTTTTCCCCTTACAATTGTAGATGATTATACCAGGTTCACATGGGTTTTACTTGTTGCAAATGAAGAGTGATGTTCCTACTCTACTCAAAATGTTTCTTTCCTTAATAAGAACTCAGTTTTCTACTATTTTAAAGGTGGTTAGATCTGACAATGGAACAAAGTTTTTAATAAGATATGTACTGATTTGTTCAATTCCTATGGCATAATCCATCAAAGTAGTTGTGTCTATACCCCTCAACAAAATGGGATAGTTGAGAGAAAGCATAGGTATATTCTAGAAATTACTAGAGTATTGAAGTTTCAAGCCCATAATCCAACTAGATATTGCGGGAAATGTGTAGGATCTATCCATTTAATCAATAGTCTACCAACTGAGGTCTTACAAAGCAAATCACCTCATGAATTGCTAAATGGAAAGCCACCTTCCATTGATCATTTGCGAGTAATTGGCTGCCTTTACTATACCACAAATATAGCTAGAGATGACAAGTTTGGAGCTAGAGCAAGAGCATCATTTTTCTTAGGATACTCTACAACTCAAAAAGGCTATAAGCTTTTAGGTCTCAGCAGCAAAAAATTCTTTATGAGCAGAGATGTTGTCTTCAAAGAACACCTGTTTCCCTTTGCTCAGTCACCTGAAGATGGTCCTCACATGGTTTCTGGTGACATTTCTTGTCCTTTGTCTGATGCAGATCCTGATAAGGGGAGATATCTTGACGGCAACACACCAATAGGACCATGAAGGTGAGACTGTGTCTGAGAGTCAAGATACACATACACATTATGAAGATCTTGAAAATGCAGTCTTTGGTTCTTCTGGTGATACTGGTACAGTCCATGTTTTCTATGACAATGAAGATACCCATGCCTCTGTTGAAGGTCTTGATAATCCAGAAATTGAAGAAGAAGCTGAAGCTTCAGACAATGAGTTGGCAGGAGCTAATAAAGGAGCTGAAGTTCCTAACACTAGCTTGACATAAGCTAACCTGAGAAGATCCGGAAGAATTACAAAGGCACCTTTATGTCTTGAAGATTATGTCACAAAAGGGAGGCGAAAAAATATTATGCATCCACTATCAAACTACATTTCCTATCACAAGTTATCTGCAAAATGCATGAGTTTTGTCGCAAACATTTCAGAAATCATAGAGCCACAAACTTTTCAGGAAGCCTCAAAAGATGATATATACGTAGAAGCCATGGAGTAGGAACTTAAAGCCTTAGAAGACAATAACACTCGTGAAGTAGTTGATCTTCTTAAAGACAAGAATGCAATTGGTTCAAAGTGGGTGTACAAGATAAAGTATAAAGCTGATGGTGAAGTGAAAAGTTTAAAGCAAAATTGGTTGCAAAGTATTACAACCAAAAAGAGGGGTTGGATTATCATGAAACCTTCTCACCACTCACTAAAATGTATGACAGTCAGGTCTGTCATTGCATTGGCAGCTTCAAGGAACTTGAATATTTTTCAGATGGATGTATACAATGCATTCATACAGGGAGATGTATTTGAGAAATTTTACATGGAGCTTCCTCAAGGTTTTAAGAGATAGGGGGAGACAAAAATGTGTAAAACAAGTGAAATCTCTATATGGTCTGAAGCAAGTTTCAAGACAATGGAATATAAAGCTTTGAGAGGCACTGTTGATGTAGGCTATTGTCAAAGCTTATATGACTATTCTTTGTTCACTAAAACAGAAAAGGGTGACATAGTTGTAGTACTAGTGTATGTGGATGATGTATTAATCACATGAAACAGTGATAGTCTCACTGAGGAGACAAAAAGGGTATTGCATAAAAAATTCAAGATAAAAGATCTCGGAGAACTAAAGTTTTTTCTTGGGATAGAGGTATTGAGATCACACAGGGGAATATTACTGAATCAAAGAAACTATGACTTACAATTAATATTAGACTTAGGATTGGGAGGAGCCAAACCAGTCTCAACACCTTTAGATATCAACCAAAAGTTCACTTATGTGGAATATGATAATCACATAGGAGTTTCAGGAGATGAACTCTTAGCAGATGTGACAGCCTATTAAAGACTAATAGGGAGGCTGCTGTACTTGACAATCACAAGACCAAACATAACTTTTGTAGTGCAAACACTTAGCAAATTCATGCAAGCTCCAAAGAGGTCACACTGGCAGGCAACAATAATGATTGTGAAGTATGTAAACCTAGAACCAAGAATGGGAACAATGATGATCAATGGAGCAACAAACAATCTAACTTGCTTTTGTGACGCAGATTGGGCAGCATGCCCCGATACTAGGAGGTCAGTCATAGAACTCCTAGCCAAGTTTGGCGATAATTTAATCTCTTGGAAGTTTAAGAAGCAACAGACTGTGTCGATAAGCTCAGCTAAAGCAGAATACAAAAGTCTAGCTGCATCAACCTCAGAAGTAGTATGGCTTTTAGGAGTGTTTGCAGAATTAGGAATGATGATCAAGCAACCAGTTGACATGTTTTGTGACAGTAAAACAACACTTCAAAGTGCAGCAGATCCTATTTTTTATGAACAAACTAAACATATAGAAATCGATTATCACTTTATAAGGGACAAGAACAAAGAAGGGAAATTGAAGACTCATTATGTTGGCACTAAAGAGTAACAAGCAGACTCACTCACAAAAGGGCCTAGGAAGAATCAACATGTATATTTGTTAGGCAAGCTAGGAGTGCTTAACATTTTACACCCTCCAACTTGATGGGGAGTATCAAAATTAGTAGTTAGTTGACAGCTGGATATTACTCCCTCCGTTTCAATTTACATGATGTAGTTTGACATGACACAAAGTTTAAGAGAAAAAAAGAAAACTTTTGAAATATGTGATCCTAAAAGCTCAAGAGGTAAAAGCTTTGTGAGGTCATGCATTTGTTACAATAAAAAGTTTAAAGTTAAATTATTTTCAAATATATAAGTATGTCATTCTTTTTGGAATGGACTAATAAGGAAAGTATGCCATTTAAATTAAAACGGAGGAAGTAGCTATATAAATTTAATTATTAGTCGGTTAGTGAGTTAATTATAAATAGAGGTTGTACTTGTACATTTCAACAGAACATCAATAGAACAGTTTTCTTCTATCCCAAAACATCTTCTTTCTATGGATGAAATCACAAATTGAGCTCCAGATTGAGAAAACTAACAATTACCATGTTAATTTTTGCATAAAGTGACAAGAAAAATAATAGCAACAAACAACGTGATCTTGCTCCTTTAAAAAAAAATGATATAATACATAGTGTTAAAAAAAAAGATATAACAGATTGCATAACCAAAGCTAAAATCAATCTAGGAAGTTGAATTTGAATTTGAATGCCAAAACAAGCAGTTTTAGGCACCCATAACACGTAGGGAAGAGTTATGAATACTATAAATATAAAAGCATATTTAGCATAGCATACAAAATGTAGTCTTAGATACAGCAGATGTACAATTGCGCAATTTTTGTGCAAATTATCTTCTCTACTATTAGATTATGAAGATATAACTCGACTAAACTAGTACTAGTATATATTAACTTATATATATATATATATATTTATTAATAATGTCACTTCATAGTAAATAAACGATTGTCAATAATTTTGTGATTTCTTCGATTGTTGGTTTCATCTTCATGATTTCCAGTACGAATTTTCCTTCTATTCATCTCAGCATACATTTCTTCTATCATTGGTTTCCAGAGACGAACTCGAGCATTTATAAACCAATTAGATACCTGATCAAAACAAATGTTGGTATAAATTAGGATTACAATGAATACCCATTTTTATGATACGTTATAGTATATGTCCTCGATAACAGCATTTCGCCATAGCAGCCAAAAATATCAAAACAAACGAGGTTGTTATAGAGAGGTTTAACTGTATATATTCAAAACTATGTTCGCCTGTTCAATGCAACTGTACCTGGCTCCTTGTCAATCCACTTTTTACTGCTAGCAATTGCTTCTCTGCATCCTTTGGATATCTGAAACGCGCATTTGTGAAGTGTTTGAGCAAATTTTTACATTACAAGCAGAAACGGAAACATTTAATATAGCACTAAGACATGTTACGTGCTTACGTGCTATAGCAACATGTTAAAATACACTGATAGTGCTTTATATTGTCGGTGTATATAAGTCAAATTTTTAAAACAAATGGAAAAACTTACGGGTGAAGAAAGTTTTGAAACATCCATGCTCTCAAAACTGAGACAGATCTTTCAGGCAAGCCTCTCTGTGGTCTCCATAACTGATGATCTTTCCTTTTTAGTTGCTGTAGTGCCCATTGCTTTTGAATGAACGATGTTTCAAATGATTTCTCTACTCCCTTTTCTCCTCCTCTATTAAAATGTTCTCCCATTGCGAGTATGTAATTGCTGATTCTCTCCCTCAGGTTTTTGTACAAGGAGGAAATAGTTTGAAGGGCGAAACGAGCATGTATGCTAGGATCCAACTCGGTCACAGCATGAAACGCGGATATCACCATATGAATCTCATCCAAGCATTGGTTGTATTGATCATCAACCTAAATTAACAGAAGTATAAAACATAATATAATGATATGATGAGTAAATACAAATTAATGAACAAATAGAGGCAATCTGAAGTATATTTGAAACAGATTAATCCTAACAAAGAAAACTAATCATCGAATAGTCTAGGGAATAATGTCATAAACCGTGCCAACTTACCACTTGCAACAAAGCCACCAGATGTTTTTTCTTTGCTTCAGAATCCATTTCACAAATGATTCTACAGTCTTCATCAGGCAAATCATCAGAACTCAAAGTAAAAGACGTGTTAGCACCATATTCTGTCCCATTTCCTCGATAGCCTACCAAGTTATGATTTTGAAGTGATAAATGAGCCATTTCAGATAGTATTTCTTGCATCATGCGAAGATATCTTGATCCGGTTAAGAATTGCGAAAGGTGGACTGGTTTGTATGAGCCAAAATTTAAAGACAGATTTCTGCTGTTGCAAGATGTTAGCTCTGAGTCAAACCGTCTTTGAGAGAAAGCATGGTTGGTGACGCCGGAGCAGCTTATATCCGAGCATTGGTCGCGGATAGAAGTCCCACATGCAACAGCAGATTGTGTTGATATGAGACTTAAAGAAAGCTCATTGCTAAATCTGGAGGAGGATCCAGAGGGACTGTCGGAACTCATACTAGCAGTTTCTGATGAGAACCATGTGTTTGAATTCACATTCTCATGAGTTAATTGGAAAGGTTGGGATCCTGTTCGTCCTGCAACTGTCCCGGCAATTTCCGGGACACCATCAAACTCATAGTTTCTATAGGATCCAAACGAGTGATTTAACATGGTAGGATAGTCTAGAACATCAGTTTTATGGCCTTCTACAGGATGTGATAAGGGAGCCAATGGCGCTAAATTTTCATGATTCTCGGGCATAGCGTTCCTTGTAGCCAAAAGATTTGCAAGAGACACAGCAGAAATAGGTATTCCCTCCATATACTGATCCTCTGTGTAAGCATTACTGATTGGATATGAAGTACTCAGCGAAAACTCCTTTGTTCTGTTTCTCATTGGCAGAACACTGTGGATTGCTCCGGGGTCAACAGCTCGAGGAAAATTTGGTAGACTTAGAAAATCTTGAGAACTGTTTATGGCTTCTCCTTGCAGCATAAAAGGAATAGGAATTTCATGTCCATCCATGATGTGGTTTTGTCCGTCCATAACGTGATTTTGATTGTTCAGACCAACTCTATCAGGGAAAATAATGGGGATACTGGTTGTATGAAGAAAATTTTCGTCTATAATAGGATAAGGTTCCGCCATTTCTAGTGGCAAATCAAGTTCAACATTACTTCAGCTTTTACTATGGAACAACGACCTGAAGTGATCGTGCTAAGAATAGCTGCTGACACTTTAAAGGTTCTTCCACGACAAATTTAACTTTGATAGATCACTAACAGTTCACAGCTCTATACTTTTTGCTGAACACAAGTGCCTATAACAAGTAAAATGCCAATTAACACTGTTTAGATCACATCAACAGATTGTGCGGATACTCATCGACATTATATCACCTAGTATTAATAAAGTAGCATAAGTATACCTAAAACAACAAATTTTATCATGATAAATTAGGAAAACAAAAATCACAACATGCCTTAGCACCGAGGGATGGTAGAGGAAATAACTCTACTTCATTACATTCATCTATCTTTTTTATGATTAACATAACAACAGTTTACTGGAATAGCATATGAAATTGTTTCACCTAGCACATCAGAGTTCTAACCTTTTCCCTTTCCTTGTCCCGCCTTTTTTTTGGTGGGGAAACAAAAGGAGGGAATGTGGTCATTTAAATCCAACTCGCACCGTTGGCGACAAAAATGCTTGAACTCAGACACACTAGAGATTGGGCAAATAACAAGACATTGTTCTCTTATTCCTTCTTTTACTTGAACCACAGCATAAAAGAATTAGAATTAGACGCCACTTAAATTCAACATATTTAAAAACTATCTTCTAATATTGGCATGAGGTGAGTTTAAATGGAGTAGGGCGAGGATTCTTATAGCCGAACCCAACTTGTTCAGGATTTGAGATTTTGATTCATAGTAATTGTTGTTGTTGTTGTCAGAACTGTCTTCTATTACAAAATTTAGAAACAGGAGGGAAGATTTCCTTATCGGTGTGAATGGGCTTCTTGCGGACCAGGAGGTGACGGGTTTGAGCCATGGAAACAGCCACTTACAGAGATGCAGGATAAAATTGCATACAATATGACCTTGAGGTCCAGCCCTTACCGGACCCGCGCGCATAACGGAAGCTTACTGCACCGAGCAACTTTTTTTTTTTTTTTTTTAATGATTGGGGTTCGGTGAGCGCTGCTGAAGGAAAAACAACCACTATGAAAAAAGTTATCCTTTACCTCACATATATGGTGAAAATGTTCTTAAAAAAAAGTAGCAATGAATAAACTGAAAATAAAGAAAAACAGATAGCATGAAACTCTAAAGTCATGAACATGAAATGAAAAGGGAAAAAAATGTTTCACCACCTCATAATTGAGCTTAACACATCAAAAATATAAATAATATATGTTTCAAGAAAAATATAGGAATGCAACATTTTACCAGTAGGAGAGAAAGATGATAAGTAACCAACTTTGAGAACTTGTGCCAAACTTCCACAACTGCAGCTTCCTCTATGCAATTTTTTTTTTGTTGGAATTTCCTATTTAAATTAATAATGGCATTTCAAGATTATCTGTCTCATACAAAAAGATGGATCCTTTATATGTTCCAACTATTTAAGTTCTCTTAAAAAATGCCAAATGTGGAGAAAACTTTAAACAAATCATTGGTTTTTACCCCTTTCTACCCCAAACAATGTTAATCAAAGGCCAGCAAACAGTCCTAAAAGAGGACCTCTTTTTTCCTTTTTAACAATAAAGAACAATGTAAAAATAAAATAAAAAAATGTAAGGTAGGACTAGTAGTGTACTATATCAACCCCACAACCACCCCTCAAAAACTACAAAGAAAAAAAAAAAAAAGAGTAAAAAGACAATACAAAAAGTAAAGATGTTTTGCTTGCATGAGGAAGAAAAGCAAGATTTTTACTCAGAACCCAACACCCAAGAAAACTCAGAAAATTCAGAATCCCTCAGACCCCATGAAAGAATCATAATCTTAACACACACTCACACAAAAATTGTTTAAAATATAAAAAGAGTCTCTTTTTTGGGTTATTATCCACAGGTTTGAACCCAATGGACATTCATTAACAATCAAAGAGAGAGAGAGTTTGTGTGTGTATGTGTATGAGAGTGAGAGAAGTATTAATAAAAGCCAAAAATGGGCTTCTTTGTTTTGCAGAAAGGGAGATGAATTATGAGTATGGATTTATGGACCCATTATGAAAAGATATAGGGAGAGAAGAGCCACACATGAGTAAAACAAACGAAAATCAATCATATTTTCATGCACACTTACTTGTATATATGCAAACCTAGAATAGAATATCAATAAACAAGGACTGACTAGTGAGTGTGTGAAAAGGCAAGCAGTGGCTGATCTACAGTTCAAAAGATGGTTCAATTCAACAATCAATTTAATTTAGGTCATAAATATGAGCAAAAGTTTTAAAAATTAATTAATATAAATATCATGTTTAAAACGTATGTATCAAGGTAGCGCTATATAGTACTTGAATCCTTAGGCCATCTCCGAGGCTGCACCAAATTTTGCACCAAATCTAAATTTAGTGTAAAATTTGATATTTTTTTGCTCCAATAAAACATCAAATCTTGTACCATTATAGTGCATGAATAGTGTTGCACCAAATTTGGTGCAACACTATTCATCACACCAAATTTGATTTATCATTATTTTATTCATCTTTTTATTTTTTGGACTTTTTAATTTATCATATATTGTGTATATAATTAATTTTATATTAAGATCTTTATAATTTTAATTTTATATCTTATTTTTTTGATATATTAATTTTTATATTATATTTATATAAAATTATATGTTAATTTTTATTATTATTATAATTATATTAAAAAGATTGCACGTTGAATATCAGCTCTACGGTAGATATGGTACTAGATGAAGATCACCGATTTGAACAATTTTTAGCTCGACAAAAAAATTAAGGATAAAGATGCGCATTTTGCACTTCGTAATGCATTAAGCGAGCATTTATGGGAGAATAGAGGCGAAAGTTGAATATTTTATGTGGTACTTAAATTAAATTTGACTATAATGTAATATTTATTTAATTATCTTTTATCAATGATTTCACTTTTAGTTGATTTATCCTTTAAAATAATTTTATAATAAATGATTATATAAGTGGTGAATGTGAATTATATATAATGAATATGGAAAAAAGAAAAAAGATAGTATTTGTTTGAAGGAAATAAAAAATAAAATTTAAATAGAAGATAATAATATAATATAGAAGAGAGAGAAGAAATATTATTTTTTGGTGTAAAAAATGGTGTAGTGGTTAGAGTAAATTTGGTGTTATACCATTTTGGTGTGAAATTTGGTGTTAGGGTTGGAGATGGTCTTAAGGGCAGTGGTAGAGGCAAGATGAGATTGTGGCCAATGGAAATTTAACTAGTAACCTCATAAAAATTTTGAACCTTCTTAACCACTGAGCTATGCTTTTAGACTATGTGAAGGGAATTCAAAATATAATATATAAAGGTATAAAATAAATTTTGCGATACATACAATATAATTTACCGATGAAGGGTTCATGTAAACCTCGTCTGCCCCTTAAATCTGCCCCTGCTTAAGGGTCATTTGATTGGAAAGATTAGTCCCAACATAAAATTTTGCATGAAAATATCATGTTTGGTTAGAGGGATTGAAAATAATAATTCATGCATAACTTACACAACGCTTGATTGACTACAAGACTAACTCCTGCATCATTTTATGTATTGTTTTCTCGACGTTATTAAATAATAGTCGTATTACATTATGGAGAATTTATATATACATTATTTTATACTTTATAATATGTGAAATAATTTATATTAGAAATACATAAATTAAAATAGACAAAAATACCTTTAGGGGTTTGATTCACATACTAGTTATATGGAGATTATCTAGCAAACATTATTTATGCAAAGAATAATAATGAAGGGAATGTTATGATGTGATAATAATTAGGAGATTGTTATACATGAATTACTTATTTATTTATTTTTAAAACTCCTTTCTTTAAATAGTTTAATCTTCAGGTTGCAAATACATTAATTTTTACATAACTTAATGCAAGTAATATTTATTGTCGCTTACCAACACTGCAGTAGTTATGCGATGATTATTTTTTCTTGTGCAATCAATCCGAACATTGTTTATTCTATGTTGGGTTTAATTTTTCCAGATTATCAACCAAATAGCTCCTTAAAATGGTAGTAATAATCTATTCACTATCATTTAAGTACTATACAAGTCATTTTATAGGAGTATATTATAATGTTGGGGAATCTTAGTAGTCCAGTTTGTTGAATACATGAACTTTCATGTTGTGGATGGGAGTTCCATACCAACCTTGTAATAATTTTTTAAAATTAAAATAAAATATTATAATCCTTTGCATAATTAGCACTAGAAAGAACTAAAGCACCCTTGAGAATAAATATCTGCTCTGGAAGGAAAGGGTTACTTACTACAACACTCCTACTAGTTGAGGTAGTAGCAGTGCAGTTCCACTCATTTCTGTTGCAGCCTTTTGAAAATCAGAGGCCCCATTCTTTTCACAGGCCCCTCAACACTTACCCCCCCACCCCCCACCCCTACCCCACCCCACCCCACCCCTTTTCTTTTCCTCTCTTTATCTGCCATATACTGCAATAATAATCAGAACCAATATATCTGGATTCCCTTCTGTTCAAACTCCTGTACAAGGCATGCAGTGTATTTTCTTGGCAAGGAAATTTTTTCAAACACACGTAAAAAGGCCACTGTTTTTTAGCTATAACTTGAGGACAGTAAAATAATTAAAAGAAAAAAGGTTGATGAGAAAAGAGAGTAAAGAAAGCAAGAGAAAAACATACTTTCTTGACCTGAATGAAACAAGTAAATGGTTAAGGGAAATAATAATGAAGGGAAAGATACAAAAACAAGAAACAGTAAGGGGTTTACTACTGTTGCACAAGCTGTGTACTTTAGTAAAGGAATAGTAGTAGTTTTACTTTTGGGGCAAAAATGAAATGATGATGATGCAAGCAAAATTGGAGTTTTAAGCAGAGGAGATCTGATAGGAAGATCTTTGACGAATTTATTGGTGCAATTACCATCCCTATCTACCTTCCCTTTTGGCCTTTGTACGATCGACACTCGTTTATTACCGGATTTAAATAAGCAACACAAGTGGACAATCCCACGGGTGCAATTACTTTAACTGGGAGAGTATTAAATGGTCCCTATTTGGTTTCATGATAGGTTATGCTAAAATAATGGTATTTGGATTCAGTATTCGTCATGAATCGACAAGTTTTACGTTAGATATTTCTTATCATTACCCTCCTCCTATATGAAATGAGGATTCATATAATCGGATATAATCTGTTCACAGTAATGGATGCAGAACTTTTAAATCGTGGGTGCTCGACTATTTTTTAATCCGAAAAATGCTACTAAGACTGGGGGTTCAGGTAATGTATTTGTATGAATTTACAAGTTTTTGTAAAGTAATAGTATTTGGCTCTAAAAGTAATAGGTGCTCATGAACCATATAATATATCTGCCACTGTTTGTTTAGGACTAAAACGTAATTATTGTTATTGTTATTATTGTTGGTTTTTATTATTTCCTGAAATGCATGAGTAGTATAGTTAAAATGTCATAAAGATTGTCGATTAAAATCCATAATTTTTATAAAGGCGAAATACATAAATAGCCTATTTAAGTTGTCTGAACGACCAAACAAACACCTCAACTGACCCCTTTATCATTTTGACACTTCAAATAGATATTAAGTGTATCTTGTAAACATCCGACCAAGTCAGCCACCTTGCGTGTGATACACTTGCTGTTGACATGTCAAACGAGCCAATGAAGTAACGACACATGTAATTTTAGACAAAAATATTGTCACATGTAATTACAAATCCAGAAAAAATTAAAAAATAATTTCCCCCCTTTTTCACAAAAGCTTCATCTTCCACGGAAGAGAAAGTTCATTCTCTTCCCCACTCCTATTCGTAGTTTTTATCCTAATAATCCTTCCCCGTTTCTTCTTTCAGTTTTTCTTCTTCTACATGTTCTGCTTTCAGTTTTAACATCAAGAATAAAATTCAATAAGTGGTATTAGCGGAGTGTTGGACTTGAGTCCAACAAAAAGATCAGGTTTGCTTCATCAAATCAGTATGCCACCCTTTAGCAAGGAGCCATTGCTATCTTCATAACAACCGTATGGAAACAAGAACCTCAAGTAGAGTATGGTCTCGAACACTTTTGGTTGAGAAGTATCAGTAAGGAGCCATTGTTGTCTTCTCGAATAACAAAAGCAGAAACCCAAAGTTAAGATCAATAATGACAGATCCATATCCATTTGAAGCTCTACCTCGGGTCAATTAAATGGATCTTCAATATCCATTCTGCTTCCTATGAACCTTTTTATCTGGGTCGGTTCACCAATTAAGCAAAATCTTCCCCAATTTCAATAAAGATCAGAGTTTTAATTATTGGACATGCTGAAATAGGGTAAAATACACTTATTTTTACTGGTTATTGTTTGTCAACCTTGGGCTTTGCTAAACAGTTGGGATTGTCGATACTAGAGGATGGTTAGTTGGTGGAAGAAATTTTTAGGGAAGAAGGTGGAAATAATTTGGAGGAAAAAAAAGTGGTGTGGGCCACACATAAAAATAAGTTAAACTGAAAAGAAAAAGAAAACAACGTAATTGAAGTCCTCACGCGCTTAGTTTTTAATGAGACACAATTGATTTGCCATGTCAGCGCGAGGTGTTTACAAGACACACTTAATATCTATTTGAAGTGTCAAAATGATAAAGGGGTTAGTTGAGGTGTTTGTTTGGTCGTTCAGGACAACTTAAAGGGGCTATTTATGTATTTCGCCTTTTATAAAAGCTTTCACATGGTTAAGAATTACGAGAAAAATAACTTGATTTTTTTCAAAAAAATAATTAAGAAAATCACTCATACCTGTGTGAACCGGGTTAATTCCATGGATGTCACTTAACTTTCATTTTTATTGCACAAAAGTGGTTAAACTATCTTTTGCAATGAAAATGTAACGACCCGACCTGTCGAACTGTCATTTTGTGTATTTGCATTTCGTTTCTCCTTTTGACATTTCACACATGTGCATTAGTGGTTTTATGACTTGTGGGGTTGATTAATTTCATTCCGAGGAGATTTTGGATTTATTTGGGCCCTTTGGTTCTTGGCTTAGAAGCCTAAATTAGAAGTGTTGACCAAACTTTGACTTTTATAAAAATGACCCCGTAAAGGTATTTTAATGGCTTCGATAGATTGGTATCGTGATTTTGGACTTGGACGTATGCCCGGAATC